CAAACATTCTGAATGTTTAGTTCCTTTCATCAATATTATTTGATAACTAATCATGTACTGCACGATAAACCCCCAAAAGCAGCACCCTGCCACACTAAAACTATTAAAAATGAGCTAATTACCCAGTCTATGTCTTCCTGCGTTAGGCAGTGCAGTATGAACAGTACTGTATATAACAAATTCACCAGATATCAATGTGCTCTGTTTTATGCTTGGTAGTTTGATAAGGCTGACTAATCAGTATGTCAAGATTTCTCATTCCAGGTTGGCCAGGCTTTCCTATATTGCTTTTCATGGGCCAGGTATTGATTCAATGGGAGGGGGCGCAATGATTCACTTCTTATAACGATTCTTGTTAACACTAGTAGGACAACAATGCAACATACAATAAAAAGGCATTCGCAGTGTTTGCAATTTGCCTGCCAGGCCCATATTAATAATTTAGTGAACTCTTGGTTCAGTAGCTGTACCAGCACCTATTGACTTTATGAGAATCTGTCTGCCTAGTAGCATTCATATCCTAAAGTCCACTTTCTCGGTTTTCCTGTTCTGTGATATAGTATTTCCTTGCCAGGGCAACATATAAACTCAAGCTTCATCAGATTTGTGCTGTGTATTTTTGTTTTTCAATTATATTTTATGTTACGTATCATGTGCTAGCTGTCAGCTATTTAAAGTTTTGAAGAGTGGCCATTGAATATCACTGCAAGATACCTGACCACTTGACCACTGTTAAGAAACATTTTTGAGTTTTTTCAGTGGAAAAGAAATAGAAAGAGATAGAAAAAAGAATAGGCAGGTACTGTGAAATGGAACAATCAGATGTCAAGTATGGTGTGTGTTTTCATAATATAAAACAGAAAAGCACACCTGTACATACATCACTACTCCTAATTGATCCTGTACATGTGAGCAGAGATCAAAGAAATCCAACCTTCAATTAGTATAACATGGGCTGGTGAGGATGGCGAGTGTGGGAAAGGAGGAGCAGAGTAGAAGGGTAGAGAAGGACTTTTTCACTCTGGGAAGAGCTTGTCCCCACTTACAGGGCCTCCTAGCGTCTTGCTCAACTTTGCTACAGAGCATGGGAGTCCATTCCACTCAGCAAATGCAGCTTATCCAACGTGACAGCATAGGAATCGTCCCCTGAAGCAACACTGTGCTGCTGCTGTCAGAACTCTGGACAGTTCCCTCTGCTTCCACTCCACTGGATCCTCCTGCTTTTGAGTCTTCAAGGCTACGGTTTGTTTTTACAAGAGAGATGCATCTAGGAAAATGTAGGAATACAGCTGAGAAGGTGTCTTTTTAATCATTACTTCCTCCTGATCCTCAGTTGGGATGGACAGCGCACTTCTTCCACTGTCTTCGCACCAAATGATTTTGAGAAAATAGTTTGTTCAGATGCAGCTTCCCATAAATCATGGAAAACTTCAGTCCTAACAAGTAAATACCTGAATTAAACTCAAACACAGGAGCACTAATGAAGGTCACAGATTATATAATTAAATCAGTTTAATCTACTAGCTGAGCCATCACCTGGAACCCATGATACAGTCTCTCTGGACTCCGGTGATCATACACTGAGGCGATCCGAGCAGGGTAGGAAAAATATTTGGGCAGAGCTGTAGTGGAAACGGCGGGTGGCCGTGTCAGCTGACTGATACATTTCGTTCACGTTTTGTTGAACCGTTTCCTGTCCGACATTAAGACATGAGCCTCATATCCTCCAGCTGCTGGAGCAGGACAAAAGCAGGAGTTTCCTCTCCTCCTCAGCTGCAGAGGGGAAACTGCTATCAGACAGCAGCCAAAGTTCATCTTCACTGTTTCCAATCTCCTGTCTGTCAGACTTCCTTTGTCTTTCAGCGGTTCTCCTGCTGACAGATATTCACTTCCACATAGGAAAGGATGGCTGATTAAACCATGATTTCTGATTTCGTGCTCCCTCTTCTCTACTGGCACAGCAACGTAACATTACACAAGACGCTGGACAGGGAAGCACCCGGTCAAGAAAGGGTTTCTATAGCAACAGTACAGGAACAGAAAGCCACTGGCAGGCAGGAGCCTTGCAGAAAGGCATTGTGGGTGGGGGTCAGCTGGCACAGGTGGGGGGGTTCGGGGGTGTTGGGACCAGTGGACGAGATCCACATTTTAAAGGTGCTGGAGTAGTATGAAAAGGCTGTGTTTGGTTCACTTGGAGGAGTACTACAGTACATCTGATGAGAGAGGCACTATCGATTCATCCCCTCACAGTAGCCCCCACCAGCACTTCAGGCATGACAGGAATGCTCCGTTACTTGTCTTTTGAACATCACATTCCTTCTGCCTCGAGCAGAAGAAGGAAAGTCCATGTACATCATATTAACATGGAAGAGGCAGGAACGCTACACTTAGTAGAAGTGATTGAGATCGAGAGATCTCCGAGGCCAGATGGTATCATACCAATTGTACCTAACGAAACAAGAGACGTTTTTCATAGGCCATTAACAAAAATTTGCCCAGCTAGGACAGGGTTAATGCAAATTAACTCTAAAATTGCTAATCTACAGCCCATAGACAGACAGGTAAGAAAACTGAAAGTAACAATAAAGCAAATCTTCTCTTAAGGTTAGGGAAAGAATAATTAGAGCTAGAAACTCTTCTGTATGTCGAAATGCTTTTAAAGGGAGGTAGAGATGGATTAAAAAGGTACAGTAGATCTTGCTTAACTACCTCGTAAGAGTTCTTTGACTAAATAGTAACTAGAACAGAGCATTTGATATATTTAGATTTTCAGAGGGCTTCAGATAAAGTTATTCTTTAAGGTTACTTCCTAAATTGCTGGCAGTAGCATTCGAGGTAATGTGTGTGTTTGGTTTGGGAACTGGTTAATGGTTAGAAAGGAGAGAGGACTGATAAGGAGTGAAAGCTCAAATTGGAGGACATGAATCACCCTGCCCTCTATCTACACTATAGCATAATTAGCAGATTTACACAAGATTGGGGGAGTAGCGAACACTGAAGAAGCTAACTAAAGATTTAGGTAAATACCTGCTGTAAAAATAAATATAGAACCAGAAACACTGGACTTGAAGAGATTAGTTGTAAAAAAGATGTGTTTACTTTATGTCTTCTGGATGAAATAGTAAGATATAATGTTAGTTTAAGTGCATAACTTAAATCAAATGCTATTAAAGGTATGCAATGCACTAATAACACGTGTTGTAGGATATTGTTCACACTCGTAGTCACCACCTTGCAAAACAGACACAACTGCTTTGGAATCAGTCTAGAGCAGTGTGATCGGATATATTTCGGGGCTTTTTCATCTTGACCAGAGAAGGATGAGGGGATGTAATTTAGCTAAATCAATGTGGGCCTTCTCTGAATCAAGTGTGAAACATAAACCGGAGAACGCTAGTGGATACTATGTGGGTGTGCATTTAAAACTGAGAACAGAGAACAGGGGCACTTCTTTTCACAAGAGCTTGTGGGAGTCGAGAACAAGCTAACCAGCCGCTCTGAAGCTGATACTTTGCCTCTTTTCATGAAACAGCAGCATGAGGTTCCTTGAATCATTTCAGTAACCACAGTAACCAACAAATGAGCCCAGCGAACCAAGTGGCCCCCTCTCTTTCGTACGCTCTTAAAAGGGGGCAAAGTTGAGCTAGCTGAAATTCAGGTCACTGATAACCTTTTTTTTTTTCTTTCACGTTGCAGTGCAAAATTAAATACATTCCAAATGTACAGTACCTCAGGTAATATGCAGCGAAACTACAAAATGTGTTCAAAAACGAGGTAAAAGAAGGACCGATCTATTTGGGGTTTTATTTCTATGTTTAAGGAACAGAATGTAACTATATATCAAACTCAGAAAATGTTTATCCTGCTGTAGGTGTTTGCTTTCCTGGTCCCTGAGGACGAGTAAGTGGACAGATTTTCCTCCCAACTCATATAACAGCCTAAATCAGGTTGTCTCAGCTAAATTGGACTAATATAACCACTTTTATCCGTCCTTCAGGTGTGGGTGACATGCTGGACCATTCAGAAGTTTGTAGACCCTTGCTTTAACGTGTCAAGAGGACGTTTGTCTGTCAAGGTTGTGACCAGACTAGAGAACCTTAGAAAGTTTAAGCCTATGCTTGATAATGAGTTTTTTCCATTCTTTCACATTCAACTATGAGCTTGTTTTCTCCAGCATGTGATATTTTCCAAAACAGTAAGAGTTCAGGGGTGTTCATCTTTCCCGAATCACCGCGCATGTGCGGTAGGAAGTTCTGATCTTGATGACCTTGTTCCCTTCAGTCTGCCAGAAAATGTTCTCCTACGCACTTTGCTTCCAGGCACGGTTTTCTCTTGGAAAAGGGGGAAGAGAGAGTGGGGTGACGAGGAAGGAAGAGATGCAAAGAGAAACACAGAGCCAGCGGAATAATATTTGTGCACCATCTGTCTTTCCAAAGCTAAATAATGTAACTCACTGTCATGTTATCACCCTGGAAATCGTGGCAAGGCCTGTCTGAGCATATTCCGCTTGGATTCAACCTCTCTTTTTTCCATTGTGCTGAAACCTATTGTGCTACATGTCTGACTTTGGAGTTAATAGGAAAAAGGGTATGAGATAAAATGCACTCCTCCCCTTCATTAATTAAGCAGTCTTTTCAATTGGCAGAGCCATTTTTAAAATGGCAATGCATGTGTGCCAGTACATTTTAACAGTTCTGTATTATTGGTAGTTGGAAGAATATTATAGCACACTATACCTATATTCGTATCTCCTAGATGACAGTAAAATCAATGTAAATTGAAAGATTTAGCATGCAAATTATAGGTGGGCATGCAAAGTGGACAGACATCCAGAATCCCTTGTGGTGAGGGGTACCTTTCTGCTTGTCAGCCAGCTGATTTGGATGCATTTACATTCATGTGGGCAGCGCCACTGATGTTGCATGGGTTGCTCACAAGAGTCTCCCGGAGCTCAAATAGGGGTTACCCCCCCGCCACTCCTGATGTCTAACTCTTGACAGGCAAGGGCAGCGAGAGAGAGCCCATCGTCTACTGCTGTCAGCAACACCCGGCTCGCTGAAGGCACACAGCGTGCGGGTCAGCCGCACACAGGCACATACGGGAGGGGGTCTGTGGCGGCAGGCTGGGTCAGACAGGAGATCCTGGCAGCTTCCACTGAACGGCCTCAGCTACAGGTCAGAAAATAAGAGGCAAGGGGCACCCCGGCTGGAAAAACGCAAGTCCACAGCTGGCAGGAAAAAACAGCCATTTATCAGAATCTATAGTGGATTCTGATAAAATTCTGAAGAGATGTGTTACAAGCTTACAAGCAAACCTGTGCGTGATGATATTAATCCAGTACTTCACTTCTGACATAATTATTTCTCATATGCTGGTGTGATATCTCGAGTGATATTTCAAGTTTTTGGAGCTTGAAATACAGTTTCTCCTTGGTAACTTGAAGGACAGCTGGCAATACCGGACACCTCTTGTCCCTTTATCAGTCCTCCAAAGCAAGGGCATACCGTATACATACATATACACACAACACAGATGGGAAAATAACCTCCTGCAAACTTGTTCCAGTCATTTCATTCTCTTTCGGAAACAAAGAGCCTTCTACTATAAGCACAGGGTTTTAGGTAATGCCTTCTATACTGTTTATCAATGAAAGCATCAGACCATGTCTGTGTTATGGATGGAGAAGTGCCTGATAACACAATATTGATTAAAACTACTTACTCGAAACCACGTTTCTTCGGTTCTTTAGGAAGAGGGAGGCTACAGTATTTCGGCCTGCGCAGAGCCTATGAAGGGCCTTAAATCACCACTGACTCCTTGCTAATGGGTAGCTTGACCGTCGCATTAAGGAGCGAGGTATTGACCTTGACTCTAGACCTCCATACAAACGAGCAGCACCCAGCAATCAGTGTAACAGACAGAAACCGCAAGCTTTTACCTGTTGTCCTCGAAGGCCGGTCTCAAAGGGGCTCGTTTCCCGTTGTGGCCGGCAGCAGGACGTGTTGGCTTCTCTGTTAGAGCGCTGTTCAGACCACAGTGTGACTGGGGTGCTTCTCGATCCTAGGTCATGGCGCGCTGTTCTCAGTGGCTGGCCCTCTTCCTGCTCCTGCTCTCCCTGCTAGGGGGGGGCTCCTCCCAGAATTCCAGCGCCCCCCGCGGCTGTGGCCTGGGCCTGCAGGCGTCCTACACCCCGCTGTGCGACCTGGAGGCCGTGTGGGGCATCGTCCTGGAGGCGGTGGCCGGGGCCGGCGTCCTCACCGCCCTGCTGCTGGCCCTGGTGCTGCTGGGACGCCTGCCCTTCATCACGGAGCCGGAGAAGCGCAGCCCCGTGGGGCTGCTGCTGCTGCTGCTGCTGGGCGTGCTGGGCCTGTTCGGCCTCAGCTTCGCCTACATCATCCGGCCCGACGAGAGGGTGTGCGTCGCCCGCCGCGCCCTCTGGGGGGTGCTCTTCTCCCTCTGCTTCTCCTGCCTGCTGGCCCAGGGCTGGCGGCTGCGGAGGCTGGCGCGTCAGGGAAAGAGCCCGGGAGCCTGGCAGCTCTGCTGGCTGGCCATCAGCCTGACCCTGGTGCAGGCCATCATCGCCACCGAGTGGCTGGTGCTCACCGTGGTGCGGGAGGGGCAGCCGGCCTGCGGGTACCTGCCTCTGGACTTCACCCTGGCTTCGACCTACGCCCTGGTCCTCCTGCTGGCCTCCCTGGTCCTGGCCGTGCTCTGCCTGTGCGGGAAGTTCTGCAAGTGGAAGCGCAACGGGGTCTTCCTCGTCCTCGCCTGCCTGCTCTCCCTGCTGCTGTGGGCGGCCTGGTCCGGCTTCTACCTGTACGGCAACCGGGCCCTGGGCCACCCGCCGCTGTGGGACGAGCCCACCCTGGCCATCGCGCTGGTCTCCCACGGCTGGGCCCTGCTGCTGCTGCACGCCATTCCCGAGGTGCACTGCTGCGTCCGGCCCCCGCCCCCGCCCAGCGCCCCGGACTACTTCGACACCTCGCAGCCGCCCCCCCGCCTGCGCGAGACCAGCTTCGACGAGGACGTGGCCCTGCCTCACCGGCCCTACATGGAGAACCAGGCCTTCTCCTTCGACGAGCACAATGCAGGTATGGGCCGGCGCACGCTGCCCGGGTAGGTTCGGAGGGGAGCCGCACAGCCCTGTCAAACACTGGCTCCGATCTGAGGGGTCGGCGGGGTGCTGCAGGGGTGAGAACTTGGGGTGTTGTGGTTCTCTCAGGGTGGCCCTCCTGGTGCTCCGGTTTTCTCCCGCAGCCCAAAGGCAAAGGCTGGCAGGTGGATTGGCTTCTGGGAAAATTGGCCCTGGTGTGAGTGTGTGTGTGTGTCTGTCTCAGCCCTGTGCTGTCCAGGGTGTGTCCCGTCTTGTGCCTGTGTGTTGCTTGCTGGGATAGGCTCAGGCTCCCCCGTGACCTTTGAATTGGAGGAAGAGGTTAGAAAATGGATGGATGGGTAAAATTCATTTGATGCCCCGGGCGCGCCGCAGCATTGCTCATGCCTAGGTCTGCTGTCAAGAGGTTTACTCGTCAATTAGCTCTCAGCGGAGGTAGTCTTAAATGGTGACTCACTGAAACGCTCCGCTCCCTTCTGTCACGTGCAACAGCGAACAGCCTATAAGCCTTCTCCTTTCACTGAAAGATTTTTTCTATAAAAGCAAAAAAGCAGCTATTTTCTTCTTCCTTTAATTCCGCAAAGAAAAGCCCGAAAGTCTGGCAGGTGTTAAATGGATCAGAACCCTACCACGGCTCAGGACAGCTGCTGACTCTTTGAATTGTCTTTTTCAGATATTTGTCGGTCTAAAAATGTCTGCATTAATCTGCAGTTCCACCCGGAACACGGAGAACATGTTCCTGTCTTTGAAGGCGTTCCAAGTTTGTCACACATCGCTTCGCTGCCTCTGCCACACATTTCGCATCCAACTTGCAACTGGGTCGCCTACTTGAAGGCAGTTGAAAAATTGGCACAGATTATATAAACAGACTTCAGCTAAAGCCTGAGACCCAGATTCGTTCCACACATTAATCCATCCATCCTTCCATTTTCTAAATGTCTCATCCAATACAGGGTCACTGGGGAGCTGGAGTCTATCCCAGCAAACAATGGGAGGAAGGCAGGATACGCCCTGGATGGGACCCCAGTCCATGAGTCCACCCAGCCCTGAGGCTGTCAGAAACCCACACACGCGCTGTGCAGCCCCAGTCTTGTTCCACATTGCCTCTGAATATATTTCTCTTCGATTAACATTATCTGGGATGATTCTCACTGTTTGTCTGCAGTGTCGCCTTTTTAGTAGTGGCTAAAAAGCTTTCTTGGGCTGAGAAAGGTGCTGGTGGCTTGAAAAAAAGCACAATACAATTGCTCTGCAAAAGGACAGTTGTATTATTTAAGGGCTGTACAGTATTCTGTAATAAAAATACTGTAATAGTGTCATTGTGTGGAGGGCTGGGTGCAGCATTGTTGTCTTCCAGCGCTGGGGCCCTGAGTTCCATTCCTGGAGTGCTGTCTGCGTGGAGTTTGTATGTTCTGCCCGGATTTCCTCCAAGTGCTTCTGTTTCCTCCCACAGTGCAAAGACATACCTGTAGATGAATTGGCTTCTGGGGAAACGGACCCTGGTGTGAGTGTGGGTGTCTGCGATGGGCTGGTTATCCTGTCCAGGGTGCCTGTTGCTTGCTGGGATAGACTCTGAATTAGTTGAAGAAAACAGAAGGGTGCAAGCTTGTGTAAAGACAACCGACAGTGTGAAGTGCAAAATATACGAGTGCCTTCCAGCTGGCATGAATTTCAGTTTACAGGAGGGTGTGCGGAATGTATCTGTTGTGTAACTCAGGGAGTGTCTGTACTTTCTCACCTGTTAGAGGAACTTGGGCAGTAAAATTGTCCTTCAAAGCTCGGAACTGATTGCTTATGCTACTATATAAGTAGCCACGACTTGGATCGAGTGACTTAATGCCAGTCAGTTGCTAGGCACCAATAGACTATAGGCCCTGTTAGCTGTTGTTGTATCCTGTTGTGAAATCATGAGCTAAGGCGTGTGCTGTGAACAATAAAAAAAAGAAGGCGCCTTTTTTCAGAGGTGTGTAGACTTTTAGGAAAAACTCCTTACCTCTTCATAAATTTCAAAACTAGAACTCTAGCTTCAGTGACTCTCTAGCACAGTTGTTATTGGATTTGTCCTGTTTTGCCCATTAAGAGTGTAGTCTGTGGTGTTTTTTTTAAAGATTGTGGAGGTTCTGTAGCAGCTGAGCTAGTGAAGACCTGAATCTCTGTCTGATTGAGTTTTCCCTGGGTGCTCCTCGTGCTCTTGGTGTGGGGTGGGTCCAGAAATGTCCAGGGGGAATTTTTGCTGTCCAAGCAACAAAACATCTGTGGGTTCCCCTGCGCCTGTGAGTTTCCACTGTTATCAGTAAATGATTCGTCTCTCTTTCCTTTGGTGCATTTGGGCAGCTGTTTTCCCTGGAGCCTTGCAGGCTGAAAAGACAGCTGATATTGACCGTGCAAATGTTGAAGGACTGATGTATGTAGCCTGAGACCTCCCAGCACTGGGGCAAGGGATGGTGCAGTAAGATGAGCTGATTAACAGTTGTCAATTCCAAACCAGGAAGTGAAAATAGGGGTATTCTAATTTTTTCTTAAAAATCCTTGCTGCTCCTGCAAAATCAATGAGACTATTTACTTCCGGTGGCCACATGTGCTACTAACCTGTGTCTTTCACAGTAGGCCCCCTGTTGACGACACATCAGCTTACCAATGTCAAGTCTGTTCACCTGAAGGGTGTATCCTGCCATGTGCCCATTGCATGCTGGGATAGGCTCCAGCTCCCCCACGACCCTGTACTGGACAAAGTGGTTAGGAAATGGATGGATGGATGGAAGTTGGTTCACTTAATTGTCAGAGACCTGTGACACAGTCATTTTCCTGATATTTACTTTGAGAATTCATGAGTTTCTAAGGAACAGCTTCTTCTGATGCTCAGTTAATCTGTTGAAATTTAAGCTGTGGTGACTTGCGTCGCACAGCCGGACTCCCAGAGGTGATGGAGCAGCAGGGGCCCGTGCTGCTCAGCCTGAGTCGAGTCCGGGAGAGGGGCTGTGCCGGTGCTGATGTCTGCCCTCCTCTGTGCCCACAGCTCTGCGGGCGGGGGGGTACCGCAATGGCAACCTGGGCTCTCGCCCCAGCGTCCCCTTCCGCAGCAATGTGTACCAGCCAACTGAGATGGCAGTGGTGCTCAACGGCGGCACGGTGAGTAAGGCCAGCACGCCGGGGGTGTTCGCTGTGAAGGACAGAGACGGGTGGTGGTGGACACAGATCTGCGGGGATTTATGAGCCAAGCTACTGTTCTGTAACCAGGGCCAACTTGGCTAATGAACTATAAGCTCTGAACGAAATACAGAGATACAGAGATACAGCTTTGCTTTGGAAGCTGCTTATCCAATCACCTCATTATTACAGCAGTTTACCTGGCATCCGAATCACTGTAAGAAAAGGGTGGCCACAAGGCAACACTCTCTGTTCTAATGCAATGCATTAATGCAATGATCTCAGATATAGTCGTGCCTAAAAGTCTGTATTTGATCTGTTTTGGTTTTTGCTTACAGACGTATAAGCGTCTTTTTAAAGGCAGTCAGAATCAAACAGTGGAAAAGAAGAGCTATCCTTCTCAGAGAGATTTTCACTGCACCAGCTATTTTATGTTCAAGGGATCTGCATGACTATAAGCATCTCTGACAGCAGTGGTCCCTGGTGTTTCCTATATTTGGCAAAGAACTTTTCAAGTCCACGTTGTTTATGTTACACAGTGTATACAACTGTCCCAGCCAACATTCTGCAAGGGTAAATTGGACTGTAGGTGCACAGATGACTTAAAGCCAACTGGAACTAGAATCAGGGATATTATGAAATGTTAAACTACACAGGCTTGTCCAGAAAAAAAAGCTAATTTGCAGTGTGTTCTTGCCCAGAAAAAAATACTGCAGCAAAACTCTATAGACCAGCTGTGGATTTAAGTAAAATACTTATTGCTTAGACCAATTTTTAAATTTTTAACATTCTAAAATGTTAAAATGATACAGATGTCATTCAACTATAATTTTATTTCTTTCAAGAACCAAAATTAGTTTCTTATAAAATGTACCAGCCAGCACACCTTTCAGGCAAGTCAAAGTGGGTCGTTTTCTTGTTTTATGCTTAAAAATCATTGTTGGACAATATAAAAATGTGTCGCTCAGAGTCAGGCCCCTAACGTGCTCAAGATTCGTTTTACATACACAAGATCTGACTCCTCTGCTCAGTGCGCCGCCAGAGTCTGTTGGCTCCCCAGGGTGCACATACCAACTGGGCTTGGAGTTCCACAAGGTGATGTCGAAGAGTCTGGGCAGGAGGGGGTAGCAGCTGGAGAATGAAAAAGCACTTCAGCAGTTTGTCAGTGCCTGTCTGCTGACTCTTCTGACTGCACGCACACACAGGCACCTCACAGCTCCCTGGTAGCCCAGCCTGGGCTGAGTCTGTTCCAGCAGTCCCAGGATCAGCTGTCAGGCTCTGTCAGACCGGGATACAAATGCCTTCCCTCTCCAGCCCTGCTCAGATGCTCTCCTGCAGCTGCTGTTGTACAGTACAGCCGCCACCTCCCCTCCCCTTCAGAAACAGTATTCCTAGATCACTGCACTCTTGTCCGCCAACAGGAGGTCAATACAGCTATTTCGCACCCAAGAGTTACCTTGACCCAGCAAAACGATGATTGGCAAAGAACAATGGTTTCAGGAGCTCCCAAATTAGTCATGCATAAAAAACTTCCCACCTGCAGTGCACTATATTAAAATCCAGGTGAAGTTACTACCTGGCTGTGAGCCGGACTACCTATGACTAGTAGCACAGCACTGTTCGGACGCCACCAATATTGGGGGGTTGGACTCATCTGAAAAGTCTTCTTGCCTCTTGCACTCGTGCTGTGAACTGAGATCAGTAATGATTAGCGATTCATAAACAGGGTACGTATAACTCAGACAGTGATACAACATTTGGAGCGGAGCTCAAAACTCACATCCTGGTCATGTGTGTGTGTATCAGGACTCCTGCCTTGACATCTAGACAGCATAAACCACTGCTGCAGAGGAGGACCTGGTCCTGTGACCTGGGGGAGTTAGCCGCTGTCCAGGGAGCTGAGCTGGGTGTGCTGGGAGATCCGATCAACCGGGATCAAATCCCATGAAATCTGCCCTCGTCACATGTGGATAGCCATCCCATGCTGTCCAGCTGTATACTAGTATGAGCTGACCAGCCCAGCCAGCACGTATCTAACCACATGCAGCAGGAGTGTCTAAATAAAGTGAGGTGGGCAGGGAAGAAGAACCTGTGGCGTTCCGGGGGCTGAGAGACTGTGGCTGGCGACTGACTTCCTGTCCATCTCTCTCACAGATCCCTTCTGCGCCCCCCAACTACACAGGACGGCACCTGTGGTGAAGCCAGGAGGATTGGGGGTGACCAGTCTGCGGGGGACCAGGGGGTGCCAGCGAGTTCCCCGGTGCACTGGAGCTACTTGCAGGGTTTTCTTTTGGTGGCGATGTGGGGGGGGGGAACGGGGAGAGCCGACAGGATCCTCTGCACCGACCCTGCGGGCTGAACTGTACAGAGAGGGAGCAGGGAGGCAGAGTGCCGCTGCTTGGCTTCGTAACCGACTTCTAACACATTAACACTGCAGAGGACGGGCGTGTGGAGCCTGGAAGGGAGGGTACTCCGGAACTGCTCTAGCGCAGTGCTGAATTTGCACCAGTTTCCAATTCGAACCATACAAAGCCGAGTCTTGTTTAATTTCTAAAAGAGAAACTAGCAGATGACCCAAAAAGCTGACTTCTACCATCTGTGATAGCAGAACACAGGACACGAAATGGGACACAGAATTCAATCGCATCGTGAGCTGTGACTCAGTAATGGGGTTACCCCTGGCTAACACCTACTTCCTGTATAATTCAACGAAAGTAGGGTGGTGAGAATATAGAAATAAAAACATGTACACTTCGTTTAGCAGAAGGTGCATTACACCAGGTTGTAGAATTTTCCTTTAAAGGGGTGTAATGAGCACAACACTTACTACTTACATATTACTGAGCATTTGAGGACCCAGAAAAAGCTTTATGTTACTATCAATGAACCTTGGTAGCCTAACCAAATACTGTACTTTAATCTTTGTTACTGGCAAAGCTGTTTAAGCATTTTTATTTTGCCACAACAGTACTTGCTAAAAGAGAGTACGCTGAGCTCTAAAAACTAGAACCTGGTAGTCTGAAGTGGATTTTCCCGAGCAATTAAAAGCGCTCCCCCAGAAAGTAAGCTCTGGTGCAAACTGAGCAGGCGGCAGAGTTTGACGGAGCGGTCATTGGGTTGGGTTTGCTTTGTTTGAGGTGGCTGGTTGGTTGAAATGTAATGGGCCTGGTCCAGCAGCAAGAGCTCAGCACAGAAAACAGCCCCAGTGGATTCAGGTCAGAAGCAGAGTCCACCCTCTTTCCCAGATTTGTTATGAAACTGCACCAGCCTCCTCTTCACCTCAGTGCTGCTGGACGCAGTTCCATCCCATTTCATGCAGTGGTTGGCACCACTAAATTAAGTGAAGGAAACTGTTGCCTCATTGTATGATCCAGTTGCGGCCCCGCTGTTAAGGTGAATTCTTGTGAGGATTTTTGAAACGAGAGAAGAAACTTCAGAGAGGTGCTGTCTGGCTGTTTTTAGTGGGGTTCTGCTTTCTCTTGTAAAAACAAAACCATGTAATTGTTTTTCCTCTGGGATTTCTCTTGCTGCTCATGCAAAGTGCACGTGTTTAAGCTCTTTCTGCACCTTTTACTTCTTCCCTCAGTGAACTTTGAACCCTGTCATCCCTCAGTGAACTTTGAACCCCGTCAAAGTACTCCACCTGTCGTTTCTGCTCTTTTGGAATCTCAGCTGTTCTGATGTTTGGTTTGTTTGTATTTGAGATACATATATTTTCTTTACTAATGGAAAATGGTTCACTTTTGTTCTTTGCACACATCTGTGGTGGATCGATCACCACCACAGGAGAATTCCTGAAAATCCCAGGAGTTATCTGGAATGGATGTCACATTTCTTTGAAATCTTCTGGGAGAGAGCCTGGGATCTGGAATAAAAGCAGTGTGCATGACCGATATGAATGGACTACAAAGAAGGACACCTTTGGAAAAGACTGGAGTAAACTGGATCTCCAAGTCACCGAGTGAAACAGGCTGCCATTTAGCTCCCTTTCTGTTTTGATAATTTTTATAGATGTTTCTTTTTGTTCTGTTTTTACTGTTTTCTTTTTAATGCCTGTGAGGACTGTGATGTAAGCAGCTGCTGTGCGTTTGTAGTGTGCGTGGGTGAGTGTGAGGGCACAGCGATAGAATGGGAGGGTGGGGTGTGTCAGTGCAGTCAGAGCTCCTGACTGACCATGAGTGCAGCAATTTGCCCTTCTCACACAATCAAAAACACATTTATACAGTGCCTTCCCTGGAGCCTCTGATATTAAAAAAAAATAACTTGAACAATGGTACCGTTGATTTTTTTTAAAAACAAAACTGAGATCGCTTGATACTGTAGGTAATGCCTGTTTTCGCATTGGCAGATAATATGTGTAGAGTTTTGTATCGTGAAACGTCAGCCATATTCGGGTTACCCAGGAAACCAGTGACTGCTTGGCCTAGAGCATGGTAGTCTGGAGTGGATTCAAAGTTTTCCCCCAGAAAATAAATTCTGGTGCAAACTGAGACCCAGAGAACTGACGAGAGGCAGTGTGCCAGATACTGTATGAAAAAGAGAGAACTCCTAGGTTTGTTTGCAAAACTGCATTTCCTTGTTCTAATTCATGTGTGCTGGGGCTAGAGCTTATTCAGTGTCACTAATCATGGCGGGTGACCCAAGCTTATGAGAAGGGTTGGTCGTTGATAATAGGGAAGTGCTGGTGTGGCTGATGTTGTACACAGAGACATTAGGAGTGTGAAGAAGATCAGTAGTTTCTTTTACATTTCACCCCATATCTTTTTCTGTAGTGCTCTTTAACCAGTAGTTGAACAAATGCTGATAAAACATTATGATTGCCTTTTCAGCTGATGTGTTTGTTTTGTGACTGAGCACCCATGATTCTTAAAACACCACAGCAGAACATGACGAAAATCGTTCATGTTTCAAAATCGTCGCTTTTTTATTGTGTGCAGTCCCAAAACACAACCTTTATCATTGAAGAAGGAATAATGGACTCGTACTGTTAGTCACACAGAGCTTTGTTAAGTGCCTTGGGGCAACCTTGTGAAAGGTTCTATATAAAAATAAATAGAATTTAATTGAAATTGAATTAATCAAAATAAATCATCTTAACACTAGTTCAAGAGTAAAGGGCAAAAAAAGCATATCTTTAAGAATGAGCTGGTTTTGCACACATGCCCCACAGATATAGATTATTAGTGTTGCACCTTAGAGTAGATCTATATATACTAACATGCGGCTGTCCAGGAGATGACAAATTAATCCGGCTTGCAGTATCGTTTCAGATAGTCCTTGTGCAAAGTTTAGGTGGATACATGCCAGTCTGGAAAGAGCTGTCACCCCCACTACACAGGACTGACACACACACGGACAAAGAAAGGACTGAAATGTCACACCAAGCCTGACCTTTGAAAGCTGACTCTGAGCTAGGCTGCAGGAACTTCCTCAAGTCAAAGTGCAAAACAACAGGCAGATGAAGAGGAGGGCTGCCCATATAAAAGCTCGGAAAGGGCTGCTGAGCCATTTTATCACACAGCAGACGTGTGTTTGGCCCCATTGTGTTCACTGGAAGTTCCAGTCTTTAACTGTGGTTAAAGCAGATGATGCATTTGGACAGTGTTGCATCTGCATAGACATTCGCTTTGTTTGGTAGGTTGTGGGTTTTAGGTGACTGATTGGGTTGTAACCAGTAGGGGCTCATGGGAGACAGAGTTGCCTGGTGAGCTTTACCCAATGTGATCTGGCAGAGCCAGGCAAGTGGCTGGTTCATTGCTCCTAGCTTATGCTCTGAGTGGTCAGAGGTGGCGAAAGCATGGTTTCAATGATACCGTGGCCCTTCCAACACTAGCTGCAACAGTTTGGTTGCGGGCCTGGGTCAAGTTTTGCCAAGCAGAACAGAGACCTTTTTAATAGCTGTTCATCGACATAAAGAGGAATGCTGAACATAGAATTAATGCACAGAGAAATCTCTTTGCCCAGAATTCATTTTCATTGTCCCATTGTCCCCGGTGATACTTGGCCTTCTGAACCTCACAATTCAAACCCAGTTGTACTGTCCTGTAATATGAGACAGATGGCCATGTGACTCTTTAGACAGAAAGAATCTATGGCACCTTCCAGGACAGGAGTTGTAACCCCAAGGGACAAGGGTGCATAACATCTGACTGCCTTCATCTCCCTGCCTGGATTCAGATTGAAGTCTCCTCTCTGTGGCTGAATTCCAGCTGGTCCTGTGATCCAAGTGTGCGGTACACCTCTAAGCTGATTCTGCCGAAACTGTTGATTTGCTGAAAATGGCATCACAATCCCGGATGAAATCAAAGATGCTCGACAAATGGAAACAGTTATTTTGGCGCCATTGGTGTCCGGACTTGCGAAATAATGTTTTAAGAAAGAAAAAAGAATTTGTGTAACAAATGACCGGATCTGCAAAAGATCGATACTGCTTTCTGAAATAAAATAACAAAAATAAATATTTATGTTACACTTAAGTGGAGGACAAATAATGGCGTATAAAGTGACGAAGCAGATATTAATACAAGTGTATGCGCCTTCACTGTATTGCTAGGCCTCAGGTGTTTCTCCATTACAATCTCCTGTATTCTATGCCTTTGGGTTCAGTGGAGCAGAGTGTCTGTTTGCACCCAAGAGATCATGTAAAAACACAGAGAGGCTCAAGGGAAGGAAATGGGAATAAAGACAGCAGACAGAAGTCAGGGGTATTCGCCTTCTTTTCTCTTTTGCACAAAGACTAGAATTGAGTGCTTGAAAGTGCATTGTATGAGACAAACACCTTTACTGTCATAATCAGCAGGGGAACGGGAAAATGTTCTTCTTTAATGTGATGTGATTCTTGAGTGGCACTGCGTGCAGGTTCTTAGACCAGAAATGAACATGCCCATAGTGAGGTAGTAACGTGCTGTCTCATCATTCTGGTTAAATATTGTACCGTGCCATTCCTTGACCTCTGATGGAGGGTAACTTCTTCTGAAATCTTAATTACTTTGTTCTGTGTTCCGCATTATCTGTAGCTGCGGTGCAAAATGGGAATTGTAGAATAAGAAATCTTTTTTACACTAGGAAAATAAATTGATAAAAAAAAACTCCAGCCTTGGTATCTTGCTGATACTACATATTACTTTCAACTATATAATTGTAATGGTTCTATATCAAATGTTGCTGTTTTTTTTGTAGAAAGAAATGGTCATCCTGGACAAGTTATGGACTGATTTGCGATTTAACAATAATGATGAGCAGAACAACCTGTCAATGGCAGATGTAGTTCACATACAAAACTGTTTTTGACAGTCTTCTTCTGATTTTCTTTGACAAGCATTTGATGAAAACAAATGCTGATTATCAATATACAGGTCTTCAGGACCTTCTAAGCAACTGACAGCCCTATGTTCCAGAAAGACTTGTTTTTTACAAAACAAGGTTTTCAATGCCTCAGTCCTGCAGGTTATTTATGCTCCGGTGCAAAGACAGTAGGCACAAAAATCTGGCATTCACACAGATCACAATCTTCAAGACCCTGATCGCAACTCAAGGCAAACTATATGTAAGCAGACTGTATGAACAGTTGTAGCTTATGCTTCACAATTACCATTCACATCCAGATGTCCCATTCAAGGGTGTTCCTCATCATTACCCTCATTCTATCCCCACTAGAAGCCTTTTAAACCTCAAAAAGGCTATTTTTTTCTACTGTGAAATGCAGATCTATCAGGATAAGCATTCATTTTAAAATGGCTAAAATTCCATGGCATTGTCTTAGAACAGTGTACCAGCATGCAGAGGAAAATCACCACATGCTTGATATCCTGGGAGCTCGTTAGCTCACTTATGGAATTCACACAGAAAAGAAGAGGGTGTCTGCGCAGAGCAAAACCTCTCAGTGCTCCAAGCCCATCAGTCCTTGCTACATCTTTTTCATTTGGAGGAGGATTGCTCAGAAGTGTACTGGAGAGTTCCCTGTGATCAAGCACCAGGGACAGAGATGCTGCTGAAGCTTACTCGTAATTCGCTGTGCTCCGGGCTGTTTTAATTACTGATGAAGGCAGGAGTTCAGGACTGATAGAAAGAGCTGATTGGATATTTAGTCCTGGACTGACCCTGGTTCTGTGAATAATCAGCAGCTGTTTAGCTCTGATTACCAAGCTCTCTGGACTTGTATCCTCTAGGAAGAAAAACAACTAAAATCCTTAAAAACCGGCATGTAAAGCACAACACCCCAACCATTACTGCACTTTGTTAAGGGATTCTTTAAGACTTTCAAGAGTCTTAATGGGGGAGTCGGAGCCTATCCCAGCAAGCAATGGGTGCGAGGCAGGGTGGCCCCTGGACATCCATCATAGGACAGACAGACACACTCACACCAGGGCCACTTCTCCTGGAAGCCAATTAACTCACTAGTATGTATTTGTATTGTGGGAGGAAACCGTAGCACCTGGAGGAAACCCACTCAAACGCAGAGAGAACATACAAACTCCACACAGACAGACCCCCAGGTCTGGAACTGAATCCAGGACCCCAGTGAGGCAGCAGTGCTAAGCTCTGTGCCACCATGTCATCTGCTGCGCTGGACACTTTCAAAATGATCTCATTACTAAACAAATTGCAAGTGAGTGAATAAATCAAGAGGGCAAATGGAAACCAGTCCTCCTAAAGAATGCTGTACATAGGCTGAAGGAGAGTATACATGCATAAATCATTGCAGGGATTGTGAAGTATTTCCCCAGAAGTGCATACACACAGACATGACCCCACACACATCAATCGATCTGTTTTTATTTGGAGAGATGCTTTTGGAGCTCTTCCAATGAGCTCTAATAGAGCTACATTAATGTGCGATACTCTGAAAGTACAACAGAGACATGCAGAATCAAATTTAAAGCAAAATCAAGGCAAACAGCCCTAAATAATTACAGGTGAATCACAAGCCATATGTACTGGATTTTCAAGTGCTTTAACGTTCTGATACATAAAGGTAATGCTGTAGTTGCACAGACAGGGTCACAGTTGAACAATTAAATTTTAGGTATGCAATTACATAAAACAGCACTACTAAAAAATACACCAGCTACAAGAACACATCATCATGGTTATAATAAAGATAATATGGGCATCCATAAGAGGCTACTCTAGTCTCAGCCCTGACTATAGGTTTGAATTTGGGCCAGCTGGCAAGAGCACAGCTAGTTCATTACTTAATTTTTCATAATTAAATTAGTTAGGTTTTTACCTAATTTTTTCCTCTAATATACATTGACTGTTTTTTTCTTATGTATTTGGGTATTTAGTTTGTTTGATTTGTCTATTTTTCAGTTATTTTGTCGTTAATGTGATCCAAGTGATCATTTGACTGAGCAGTCAGTGTGTAATGTGTATAGACCACTTTATCTGAGGATAGCCACACGTACCAAGTGCACTGCTGTCACATTTTGATTGGTGGATGTAGATCACATGGTGTGGGCTTTATAAGCCCATCTGTGGTTCAGGTAACAGAGAGAAGACAAGGGAAGTAGTGGAAGACAAGACAAGGGAAGTAGTGGAAGACAAGACTACAGCCAGAGGGCATTGACTCTGGGCCTTGGGTGGAGATTTAATTCATGCTGTTTGTACTCCACAGGGAAAAAGGGTAATATTCTCTGTACTATCCCTCAGACACTAAATGTTGTTAATATTTTCTGTGCAGTGATAATTTTCCTTTATCAGTAGTACTCAGGAGAGATTAACTCACTTACTGTAGGACATAGGCCTGAGTCTCTTCTCAACCTAAAGAAGAGAAATTAATCTTAAAAAGGGCAAAGTACCCAAAATCTAAAGTGTGAAGTGCTCAATATTAATTTTCTTTTGCTGCAGTTTTTAAGTTGGCCAGGATTGGCTGGACAGGCCTCGTAACACCAGTTTGTGTCTTGCTGGTCATCTCTGAGCTTGCAGTACTACAGTACTTGGTGAGTGATTCCTTGGTCTTCTTCCACTAATGCAACATGGAGCGTTTTATTAAAACAATAATGAGAGTGAAAAAAGAAGAAATGAAGTTTTTTTTTTTTTTCTGTGATCCAAGACCATGAGGTTGATCAATGGCCATTTTCTACTTTGTTTTTCTGCTGGTTAGGTCCTACAGTGTGTACATCTGCTTAGAAAACACTGCAGGCAAGCTTGTACTCTCCTTAAGCCTATTCTGACCAATACAAACTTCCAGTGTATTTTGTATTGCTCTCCCTCAACTAGATGAAAGCTCCACAAAACTCTTTTGTGAACATCAATTTTCTCTCCTACAATAATATCTGTTGTATTTGATGGTAGACTATACAAGACTGGTCATGCAGCACAATTGCATAGATACAGATAACATGGCTGGTGTGCTACAGCGCACTGCTCTCCACGGACATGCATGGCATCAGCAAGATGTTTTGAAATCTTTTGTAGCTGGTTGCTAATGTCGGCTCCCCCATGCAAGGCAATTTTGATCCCTGTCAGGTCTCACAATTTGCAAACAGTGATATAAATAAAGAGCAGCTGCTGGAAATGTCAAGCATGCCGATGTTAGCCCCTGGCCTCATGGGTGTTGGTACAACAAAATGGGGTGAGGTCAACATGCCTACATCACTGTAAAACTAATACTTGAGGACACATTGGTAGGTGCAGTAGGCTTTTATTTTTGTTTGGACCAAAAATACCACCTTAAAGATTTTACTAACTTTTTCATGCTTCGTTTCCGCCACATAACAAACCCCATTTTTTTTAATGACTTCCAACATCGGTGAATAATGAAAGTTTACAAATTACGATTTTACAAATGTATCTAGCCTTGACACAAATGTTACAGTACTTGAACTGTCTTCTACAAAGTAAAGATGAATTATTCACTTATATAATGACTTGTAACAGAATGTTTTGACCAATTTGTTCAGAATTGTTTTTCAAAATGACGTCCTGGTCTGTTTCCTCGTTGTGCTAGTATTCCCTCAAAGCAACCAGTACTTCCAGTGGTTCTGTGTTGACAGAGACTGCGTGAGCCGAGCCCTTGCACAGAGGGCCATGGGTCTGCACTTTAATGTTAGGTCACCCCTGGCTTCCTCTTGCACAAATCTGCAAACCAAGAAAACTTCATTACTGAAAATTGGCAACATTAACCATTTAGACAAACCACGACTGAAGACCTGACTGGCAGCCAACTCGGATAAAGGGGATTGATTTAAAATAACTCATGGGATGGAATATCTTATCTCAGGACACAATGAGAACTGAGCAGTTGTAATTATAGGTATAGAAGTGATGTGAGTTGCACACAGTTTTCCAAGCCTTTCCTCTCCCCTTTCTTTGCCCTTATAACGACGGGGTGGCTGATGATGCTGTTGGGGTGCCTTGCAGAAACTTTGAAGTGTGCCGAAGTATGCTGGATCAAATATTGTTTTCTCAAGAGGGCGGGGCTCCTCTAATGTTCTGTACTGAATCCACATGACCTTCAATAAAAATCAGTCTGGTAATTTGCAGCATTGGTTTGTATTTTGTATTTGGAGATCAGAGAAAATGTCCTGACAAACACTGGTAGACCCCTTTGGGGGAGGGGAAGGAATCCTACAGCAGGACTGCATGTATGCTTGGGCCCTGGGTTCAATTCTGGACCTGGGAGAGCTCTCTGTGTGGAGTTTGCATGTTCACCCTATGTTTGTATGGGTTTCCTCTGGGAGCTCTGGTTTCCTCCCATAGTCCAAAAATGGGTAAATGGCTTCTGGGTGAAAAAGACCATGCCACCCTGTAGTCTAATTATATTTTCCCAAATAATGCCATCATATTCTTCAAACCACCCCTTTACTTCCTCTTTCTTTTCATTGAAATGAGCTTCTTGTTAAGGCAAAAAGATTTAAAGCCAACTTTCAATGCACATATGATCTCAACAGTAGAATAGCCAGCAGCATCCTTCCTGCCTGGACTGTGTGAAGTGTTTCTGTTGGGAGTTTAACCGAGTACAGAGTTCCCTTCCTTTCCCCAAGTGATGGCTTTAGCTTAATCGACTTTCTCCTCATTGCCGTTTTCTGGTGTGCCTTCTGTAACAAAATATTTAACTAAGCATAAATACTGCCTTAAACTGACAGTGTATTTCAAAGTCAGGTTCTCATGATTATCGTGGATTACAAATACAGTTCCATTTAGAACTCGACAGATGACGGAAAATCCTTAAAGATGATAAGGTAGCTGTGAAACTGTCTCGGAAGTGAGTGATGGAGTCCCTTATAGTTGTGTTAGGACAACGTTAAATCTCCCTGCAGCCAGCAGGTGATAAATTGAGCACTACCTGTTGGGAATTAACTGGACAGCTGGCTTGGCAGAGGTTGTACTGTATAAAGTAGCTGAGAGCAGATATAATTTACCTTTAGGGTCAGGCTCCTGTCAGACAAGAATTTAAACAACAGCTCGCAAAATTTGATAACAAGCATTATGCACACTGATATAGTTTAGATTGAGTGTGAATGAAAATAAATTTAAATTTGCTAACACAGGCCATTAATTGAGAGATTAATAGATACTGTCTAAACTAACTTTATTTATTTATGTAACCCAGCCACTAAATGCTATAAAGTTGTTGAATGTACCCCTGCCACTTCTATGTAGTGATTACAGATGGTCAGTGCATTAGTTATCTGGGTAATGCACAGTTTTACAGAATACAGGGCACCGTTCGAGTTGAGGTAAGGGACAACTAGATTCTTTACATATTATTGGGAAAATTGGCCCTGGTTAACTGGGCTCTTCCAGGGTGAACCCTGCTTTGCTAACGTTGCTTGCCCGGATAGGCTCCAGCTCCCCCATGACCCTGAATTGGATAAAATGGTTAGAAAATGGTTGGATGGAATTTGAAACACGATTTCAGGGTTTTGATATGCTTTGAGCAACTATAAGATAGTGGTATAGACTAGTGAGGGTAACTGTTTACAGTTGTCTGACTTACTATAATTTTGTCTTTGACAAGTACACAATGACAATTTGAGTTGCATTGCATTTGTCCTTAATAACAATGGGAGTACTTCAGTGAGTCATCTGTCCCCAGATATGACTGTAGCAAAGTATTGTGAGTAGACAAAAGGGAAAAAAAAGTGAATAGCAAATTGTTTTGGTTAATTTAGCTGATTCAGGAACAATGATCTTGTCTGATTGACCATCTCGCTTGCTGGCTTTACAAAGTAAATTGATTTGGAGACAAATAGGACAGTAGATACAGAGATCTGATGCAGAGATAAACAGACTGTACCTTGCAGTTTGCATTCTCTTTTAACTCTTTATAAAGAGACAAGTGCTTGTCTGTTTAAACAACTTCTTGAACTGTCAAACACCTTCTGTCAGAACCTTAATTACAGGTCTAAGACAATATCTCAGCTATGCGATTTAAAAGCACATTAAATACAGCAAGTTAAAGCAACATAAATGCTTTTAATGTTTTAATAGATTAATGCACAGAAAAATATAAATGCTAAATGTAAACAAACCTAGATATTAGGTATAATATTTGCACAGGCACAGTGATGACACATTTGGAGTCCTCTTTGTGTAATTCAATAGATGCTGGACAGATGGTCTGAAATTAGAACATTTTGGCATTTTCGTCTATAGTCTGGTTTATGGTGTAGGGTATAATTACACAGAAATATTGATGTGTACAAATTATTAGTTCTATTTAAAGGTTTTCTAACTGTTGTATTTTAATATCCCCCTTTGGTGGACAACTTGTAAGAAAATCTTGGAAGAATGAATTCTAGTTGAGTTTTAAGCTGGTCTGCTTTTGTCCTTTGGAGTTCATACTAAACATTTAACCTGACAATGCGTCTGGTTTGTTCTGTAGGATAGCAGTTAATGGCATGTGATGTGTCACGTTGTAAAACAGGGACTCTCAACCTTTCTTCCCTGTAATCTCCCATTAAAAAATACCTCCAAATATGTACTGTATTCCTCAATTAAACTGCAGGATCAAAATGAAATCCACAGCTGTGACAAGAAAAGCCTTATATACAAACTATACAATCTTAAAAGCAGAATGCAGCACAGTATATTACAGGTAGGTTCTGTCAAAGAAGATTCACTATGTGAGACTTTTTACAAACTACTAGACTGGGAGGGGGTCTCCCTCTGTTCCTAGGGAACCCAGTCTCTGAGGGATCTGCATTCTAAAAAAGAGATTTTACACTTGTTCCTTTGTGTATGCGTTATTTAGCTGTGGGCCTGAAAGACAAAAGCACACCAAACAATCTGTGAAGACTTACTCTCAGGTAGGTTTATCAAAATCAGACATCACATACATGTCAAAGGGTGGATCGAGAATAGATTCTTTTGAACTCGGAATATGCAATTATTATTAATTCTCTTTACATACCAACTCCTGATCAGCTTGACTTTCCATGTGTTCTTGTCAGGCCTTCCACTTTGCACACTACAAGCCCATAGCACAGACATACATAGATAAGATAGAGGATCTGACAAAGCACTGCGAACTTACAGGCATCCAGACAGCCACAAAGGTTGCTTTTGCACGACAAAATTACATAGTTCTACTGTTAATAAAACTCTCAAAAGGTTCCGAGGCAGTCAGATATTGTGCATACTCCTACTCAAAGGTGCAGAGGACAGCATAACAGAGATACGCCATGCAGTGGACAGGCTTATACTTCATCAGAGCTCTCCAGAGAAGGGGACAGTGTCGCAGGGTTCGGAGTTGTCGAGGACAGGATGAGGGTGTTCTGTGGGGTAGGTGAGAGCAAGCGGATGGACACTCCAGAGTAGTTTGGCTGAGCAGCCTCCTCGGGATCCTCAATTTCTCGCCCCACTGAGAGCAAACACACAAAGACAGGTGTACAGTATAAAACCACACAGAGCATCATGCTTGTACCTATACTGCCAAATCCCATTATTTCACCATAGTTACGTCTGGAACTGGTTAGCACGTAAGACACCAAAGGAAAATTAGGTGGCTCCTGAGTGTTGACAACAGATAAGAGTTTGTTATTTTTCTGGACCATAAATAACAAATCAACATCTGAGTGTCAATAAGGTCCAGATTAAGGCTGAAGTTTGTCTTTATGATGAGACATTAAACATACCGTGTTACTGTGTTAACATACAGTGAATGCCACAGTCCAATCCAGAAATGGGTTATAAAAAAAAAGGCTTGGTTAGCACTTCAGGCAAAAGTAATAGAAGACAGCTATCAAAAGGAACAAAAGCAAAGGGAAGCAGAAGTTTTATTAACTGCACATTTAAATGAATTTTGGTCACCTAATAAAATATGAAATGCTGTTACTGTTTTTACAGTACATAACTTTCTCCCATTTCTTTTCATGTTCATTTCTGCTTTTAAAAACAAAATGCAGAATTTAGCAGAAGTTCCGGGATAGCAAACAAACAATACGGAGAAGTTGGAATCATACTGGTGTTTGTCACATGCAATTCCTCATGCAAACATACAGTATCAGTATATTGATTCAAAAACACACGCCAGACTCCAAACAGTGGGCTCCAAGGAATGTGATAAAAGCAGCAAAGTTAAGTATCAGAAGATCTGACCTACCTAAAATGTATTTAATATTGGGTGGAAAAAAGGCCTTTAAATACAGATGAGATGAGAGTTGAGCTATCAGCTACCTAATGTTAAGGTTATTCTAAAAACATACTCTCTGCAGCTCTTCCACATTGCCTGAGCCTGTACTGGATTCTGTTCATTAAGCAAAAAAGCAATCTGCTTGCTTCAGCAACACTGCTCCAGCACCCTCTCTGGCTCTCTTTTAATCTGCAACACAACCTGATCGCACATCTTTATCAGACTACAAATTGTGGCAATCAAGATGGAGACCAATGTCATCGCTTCAGACTAAGTTGTTCACATGTGATTTTGATTCTGTCTTAATGTAGCTCTACAGGGAGAAGACCAGTAGATTAACTTTTATTCATAAGTGTGTACGTGCAATCACAGCCAATGAGCTCTAATTATTTCATAACAAGCCAAGAGAAAACAGTCACATGTATTTCTTTCCCTCTGTCTACTGTATACTGTGAAAGACCATTCCTGAAGAACAACAGGGAATTGTGGAAAAAATGGCTCAAAAAAGACTTTAAAAAAGACTTAAAAAGAAACTAAAGCAGGTTCTGCAAGAAAAGAGGAGTCACCGTTACAATAAACGGTAGCCTTTCTCAGCACAGGGCTGTTTAGTCCTGGTGGTAGAAGGATAGTGTGTCTTCAGGTTTTCTTTGTGTGTTAAAAAGAAGAAGTACATGAAGAGCTGGGAGAAGCTGTTAAATTAATCAAACTAGGCTAATTTAGGTCATTAAGAGGTGGCTTGGAATGAAAACCTGCTGATACACTGGGCCTTCCAGCACCAGAATTGTACGGTCCTATCAGAGGCACCACCTCACGGCATTGCCTGATTGCTTGTGCAAGAACACAGTAATTATTCTGTTCAGTCAGTCACTGAACACGCCACACTTTCTGAGTGCACAATGTTGGTGTTTATTTTACAGTGCCATTATTTATCATTAATCATTGCCATATGGGGTATATGATGGCTTTTATATTTATTAACAATTATTTATTAAAAATGAAGTGCATATTGTAAAGTACATAAATCTCCAATACAATCCAATAAATCTCCAAAAGAATATTGTTGGTAAATTGTTGGTGTGAAAATGTCATCAGAGAGTGTTACAATGTCCCAGAGAGGAAGAAACAAACGTGTTGTCTGGGTATAAGGTGTCACTGGTACAGCATGCACCTCACTGTCGGACAGATGTTAGTGTATCTTGCATTTCAATCAACTGGCTGCAGGGAATTCATCAGGTTCCCAGTCCTCCATACCACCTCTGCTCAATCGGAAAATCATCTAATCAAGAACAGTTTTGGATAAAATTATTCGAATCTATTTTTCCCCAGTGGTACTTTGGTTGCTTAGACAGTGAAGAATATTTTTTTTCTATGAATAATACTCTCTCTCATTTTTTGTCAGTTCACAACTCAATAGTACAAACTGCGCACATGTTAAAATGCAGTGCTCAATGCAAGCTGCCTCAAAAGAAATGAAAATTGTTACATGTCAGGTATGGATGTGCATGCTGGCTATTTTTCTATTCCCTCAGCTCACTGAGTCTCTCAGGCACCTGTGTTAATGGAATTACTAGATCAGGAGTGAACAATTTCAGTCCTTGAAAAAGTGGCGAAACAGAATTGGTCAACCCTGTGAAAACCTTTTTATAGGTTTCTTTTCTGCGCCTACAGTATCTCTGTGTGTAGTTTCTGTGTTTTTTTTCTATGCCTACGTCATGCATTTGGGCACGTTACGCACATGCTGTCTTGTATGCTTATATGGGTGTGTGTGAGAGGGACGTTGGATGCCTATAGATGCGTGTGTGCATTTGCTCTGCTACGCTAGGGAACCGCAGTGTTTACAAGAAGTATGGTCTGGCCTCCCTGCTATTCTGGGAATCACAGCCATTCCATCCAGATCCACAGTCCACAGCTGGCTTGTCATTCTCAGCTGTTTTCTTGCAGAGCAAGGGCTGTCTCTGTGGAGAGTGGGGTTACATTATTGCTCGATATACAAATACAAATTGCTCAATATCACACACAATGATCAAGCTTAATTACACCCATCAGCCTTCATCTCATCACACTCATCAGTTTTCTACAGTAGTTTTTTAGAGGATGAATATACTGTAGGATGTGTATCTTAAATTTCCCAGTGTATGCCATCCATTTGAGACCAAAAGGTTTTTTTAATCATCCTGTTACATGTGCTGAGTAACTGCCCTCAGTTGAGTATTTAAAACAATTATTCAAATGCAACGTTTCGGCTGTGCAGCCTCCTTCAGGTGTGAGTGTTGCTTGCACCTGAAGAAGGCTTCACAGGAGAAATGTTGTGTTTCCTTTTGTTTCTTTCAGCATGGAATAAACCCGATACCTTATGCATGCTGACGCAGCTCCCTGCTTGAATTATTCAAACGACAGTTTTTGGAAATACTATTCAAAATGAACAAGAGTAAAGGCTGGGGAGGAGAATGAAAGGGCTATGTTTGTGAAGCTCATAGTTTTGGGCTTTGTAGCATTGCCCCACCTATTTGGATTCCTGGCAATCAAGTGTACAATATCTTTCACAATTAGGAAAGAGTAAAACAGAACACTGTCACTTTACATAGGGAGCCCATCTTTACCTGGATGTAAAAGCCAAGTTGTTTACTGTTTGTTACAATATGATAATATCAATATAAATAACAAAACATATTTATTGCATACATTTGAAGTTCTCTAGAATCTTGGTGAAAATGCTTGCAATGAAAAATGTTAAACCTCCTCATTATCTATTGTACTTTGCTCTACACCATCTCACTTTGAGATGGTACTCACTGTGAAAATGTAAAATAAAAATAACATCAGATAGATTGATTAACAATGTTTAAAACAGAAACAAGAGTCCAGATAGGGTGTAAGGTTCCTTCAAAACACATTCCAGGAACCCAAACATCTTTTTACATTACATCATTTGTAAGGATGTTTTTAAAAATCTCAAGGATTTTGGTTCTCAGAGGACCGGAGCCTACCACGTCAAATTCTTTAAACCTTATCACAGAAGGAGACCCCAAAATACATCAGGGTTTTTTGGAGGAATTCAAAGCATTTGGCAGATTCTCAGTGCTGTCCCTTTAACTGCGCGGGCTTGACCCCTGCTTCTAACTATATGGGAAGCTGAACGGAATGGCGGATTTGCGTCTGAATGTTAGAAAGGGGGGTTATGGGATCCCCCCAACTCAATAGCACACAAAACCCGCTGAGCTGACAGCCTGCTGATGTGTGATGGGAGGGGGGTTGTTCTTTTGTGCTACCGGCTATGGTCACACTGAGCTGCTGACCTGTCCCATCAGTTCACATCACGGTGTGGAAGACAAACTAAAGCCTGACCGTTAATTCTACTCCTCTATTTTTTTTAGTTGATCAATATCCAGTATGACAGACACTTGGTTGACACATTACACCGGTGGGGTGGGGTGGTTAATATCAGCATAATTAATTTTTCACCTCTTATGCCCTACTGCTGCTTCCCAAAACCAATTCCCAGTGGTTATTTTGCTTTTTCAGATGGATTCCGGTCGTTTCGCTCTTCCACCATGCCACAGGAAACTCTGCCCTGGTGTGAATTGAGATATTAGTACAATATCACCATTTGAATTGTTTGATGGAAGTCAGACACTGTGGTATTATTGTGTCTGGCACTCTAGCTGTTTGACTGTTTGCTGTTCTAAATTCCTTTGCAGATGAATATCTGCTTCTGTAAAAAGTGCAGTTTATGTTTTGAACACAACACCAGATTATGATAATACTGCCATTTAGAATAAATATGCATAGAGGTGATGTAGTATAGGTTTTAAAAGAATTTCAATTTGTAAATTTGGGCATTATCTTTGTAAAACTCAGATAAACTCAGATAAACTGAAAAATCCAAGCAAACTGAGAGTAGGATGAAAGCAAAACGCAGAGGTAAGCCAGAGTAAAAGTGAAAACTTCCCTGCATATTTACCACAGTAACATCTGTCAAGTCTCGCTCCTGTTTCTCACCTCGGGATTCACGCTGAGCCCAAAACTCCTCCACTCTCTGGCGGATGCTCCTGCTATCCTCCCTCAGCTCTCTCTGCCACTGACGCAGCTCTTGCACCTCCCTGTCACAGCGCACCTGAAAAAGCAAGGCAAGCCAGCTCAGGTCAAGCTGCTGTTCGTGTCCTGCTGCAATAATAAC